GTCGTGCTGGTGGGGCCTGTACGCCCGAGGGCTCGACCTCGAGATCTACGGGTTCCTCGCGAGGCAGACCTTCCACGGTCTCTCCATCATCGAGTTCGCGTGCATCGCCTTCCAGAGGATCGAAGAACAATTACCCTGTGACGTACCCAACCCATGTGTATCATGGGAAACGAGGAGTTGGCCGAAACTTGCATGGACAATCACATTGCAGGATCCGTTGTTTGGTATGTAAGCTTGGGACACGCGCCTATGGCATGATGCGCAGGAGAACCATACAAGAAAGAGGGGCGACAGCTACAGGCTCGAAGAGGACATGGGGAGTCGGGAACGAAGAGCAGGAGAAAGACGTGCGGGAAGCCCAGTGTGCTGGGCCCCACAGCAGCCCTCGAAACTGGCGACAGTTTCACATATCGCAGCCCCCAGGGATGGCGAGGTCTAACCTGAGTCTGCGGTAAGTACCCACTGTGCTGGGCCCCTCAGCAGCCCTCGAAAGTAACGACCGTTTCGCAGATCGCAGCCCCCCAGTGATGGCGGGGTCTAGTATGAGTCTGCGGTGAGTACCCACTGCTGGGCCCCTCAGCAGCCCTCGAAAGTGGCGACAGTTTCACAGATCGCAGCCCCCCAGGGATGGCGAGGTCTAATCTGAGTTTGCGGTGTGTGCCCGGTGTGCTGGGCCCCTCAGCAGCCTTCGAAAGTGGCGACAGTTTCACAGATCGCAGCCCCCCAGGGATGGCGAAGTCCAATCCGAGTCTGCGGTGAGTACCCACTTTGCTGGGCCCCTCAGCAGCCCTCGAAAATGGCGATAGTTTCACATATCGCAGCCCCCCAAGGACGGCGAGGTCTAATCTGAGTCTGCGGTGAGTGCCCACTGTGCTGGGCCCCTCAGCAGCCCTCGGAAGTGGCGATAGTTTCACAGATTGCAGCCCCCCCAGGGATGGTGAGGTCTAACTTGAGTCTGCGGTGAGTACCCACTGCGCTGGGCCCCTCAGCCGCCCTCGAAAGTAACGACCGTTTCGCAGATCGCAGCCCCCCAGGGATGGCGAGGTCTAATATGAGTCTGCGGTGAGTACCCACTGTGCTGAGCCCCCCAGCAGCCCTCGAAAGTGGCGACAGTTTCACAGATCGCAGCCCCCCAGGGATGGCGAGGTCCCATTTGAATCCGCGGTGACTACCCACTGTGCTGGGCCCCCCAGCAGGCCTCGAACGTGGCGACAACTTCACAGATCGCAGCCCCCCCAGGGATGGCGAGGTCTAATTTGAGTCCGCGGTGAGTGCCCACTGTGCTGGGCCCCTCAGCAGCCCTCGGAAGTGGCGGCAGTTTCACAGATCGCAGCCCCCCAGGGATGGCCAGGTCTAATTTGAATCCGCGGTGACTGCCCACACTGCTGGGCCCCCCAGCAGGCCTCGAACGTGGCGACAGTTTCACAGATCGCAGCCCCCCAGGGATGGCGAGGTCTAATTTGAATCCGCGGTGGGTACCCACTGTGCTGAGCCCCCCAGCAGGCCTCGAAAGTGGCGACAGCTTCACAGATCGCAGCCCCCCAGGGACGGCGAGGTCTAATTTGAGTCCGCGGTGTGTACCCACTGTGCTGGGCCTCCCAGCAGGCTTCGAAAGTGGCGCCAGTTTCACAGATCGCAACCCCCCAGGGACGGCGAGGTCCCATTTGAGTCCGCCGTGTGTACCCACTGTGCCAGGCCCCCCAGCAGGCTTCGAAAGTGGCGACAGTTTCACAGATCGCAGCCCCCCAGGGATGGCGAGGTCCCATTTGAGTCCGCCGTGTGTCCCACTGTGCTGGGCCCCCCAGCAGCCCTCGAAAGTGGCGACGGTTTCACAGATCGCAGCCCCCCAGGGATGGCGAGGTCCCATTTGAGTCCGCCGTGTGTACCCACGTACCCACTGCGCTGGGCCCCCCAGCAGCCCTCGAAAGTGGCGACAGTTTCACAGATCGCAGCCCCCCAGGGATGGCGAAGTCCAATTTGAATCCGCCGTGTGTACCCAGTGTGCTGGGCCCCCCAGCAGGCTTCGAAAGTGGCGACAGTTTCACAGATCGCAGCCCCACAGGGATGGCGAGGTCCCATTTGAATCCGCCGTGTGTGCCCACTGCGCCGGGCCCCCCAGCAGGCCCCGAAAGTGGCGACAGCTTCACAGAGCGCAGCCCCCCAGGATTGGCGAGGTCCCATTGGAGCCCGCCGTGTGTACCCACTGTGCTGGGCCCCCCAGCAGCCCTCGAAAGTGGCGACAGTTTCACAGATCGCAGCCCCCCAGGGATGGGGAGGTCCGAGTCCGCCGTGTGTACCCACTGTGCTGGGCCCCCCAGCAACCCTCGAAAGTGGCGACAGTTTCGCAGATCGCAGCCCCCCAGGGATGGGCGAGGTCCCATTTGAGTCCGCCGTGTGTACCCACTGTGCTGAGCCCCCCAGCAGGCCTCGAAAGTGGCGACAGTTTCACAGATCGCAGCCCCCCAGCTGGCACGCAGCGACGAGCGAGGCAAAAGGCAAGGGGGAAGAGAGGGGCGGGAAGGAGGCAAGGCGACGCGCGAGCAGTGCTCTATTCAAAACGAGAACCCAACGCAGGAGGGTTAGGAATAAATTACCCTGGCGACGTACCCAACCTCTGCGCAAACGCGGGGCGCAAATAGTTGAGGACACTTTATAAGGGGGGCGATGACGGAGCGAGGGTTACATATGTCTGCAGACGGAATTCGGGAGACTCGCAGGACACTGGCTACAGGACAAGGACCAGATAAAGCAGATTGGCTACAATCCCTGAGCAACCCTAGCCATTTCGAAAGCGGGGATCTCAGATCCCATCCCCCAGGGACGGCGAGGTCTAACTTGGGTCCGCGCGTGGCGTCACTGCGTTGGGCCCCCCAGCAGGCCTCGAAAGTGACGACAGTTTCACAGATCGCAGCCCCCCAGGGATGGCGAGGTCTAATTTGGGTCCGCGCGTGGCGTCACTGTGCTGGGCCCCCCAGCAGGCCTCGAAAGCGGCGACAGTTTCACAGATCGCAGCCCCCCCAGGGATGGCGAGGTCTAATTTGAATCTGCGTGTGGCGTCACTGTGCTGGGCCCCCCAGCAGGCCTCGGAAGTGGCGACAGTTTCACAGTTCGCAGCCCCCCCAGGGATGGCGACGTCTAATTTGAATCTGCGTGTGGCGTCACTGTGCTGGGCCCCCCAGCAGGCTTCGAAAGTGGCGACAGTTTCACAGATCGCAGCCCCCCAGGGATGGCGAGGTCTCGTTTGAATCTGCGTGTGGCGTCACTGTGCTGGGCCCCCCAGCAGGCCTTGAAAGTGGCGACACTTTCACAGTTCGCAGCCCCCCCAGGGATGGCGAGATGGCGAGGCCTAGTTTGAATCTGCGTGTGGCGTCACTGTGCTGGGCCCCCCAGCAGGCCTCGAAAGTGGCGACAGTTTCACAGATCGCAGCCCCCCAGGGATGGCGAGGTCTGATTTGAATTTGCACGTCGCCCTCACTGTGCTGAGCCCCCCAGCAGGCCTCGAAAATGGCGACGGTTTCACAGATCGCAGCCCCCCAGGGATGGCGAGGTCAAATTTGAATCTGCGCGTCGCCCTCACTGTGCTGGGCCCCCCAGCAGGCCTTGAAAGCGGCGACAGTTTCACAGATCACAGCCCCCCAGGGATGGCGAGGTCTAATTTGAATCTGCGCGTCGCCCTCACTGTGCTGAGCCCCCCAGCAGGCCTCGAAAATGGCGACAGTTTCACAGATCGCAGCCCCCCCAGGGATGGCGAGGTCTAATTTGAATCTGCGCGTCGCCCTCACTTTGCTGGGCCCCCCAGCAGGCCTCGAAAATGGCGACAGTTTCACATATCGCAGCCCCCCGCAGGCAAGACAGGAAGAGGCAGGGAGGGAAGGAGGAGGAAGGAAGGAAGGAGTGGAGACCACACTGCTCTATTCAAGACGAATACCCAACCAAGGAGGGTTGGGAATATTTGGCGCTCCGCGCGGATTTCTCGGATCCGCGCTGGGAGGCCCCTGGCGGAGCCTCCGGCGCCGCCCCCGGCGCGCTCTGCGCGCCAGGGAGGAGAGTCCAGCGCGAATCCAAAAAGTCCCCGTGGAGCTCCAACAGTTTATGCCTATGTGTTTTATCTAGAGGAACGGCATCTGCATCGTGACCGCCGTTGGGGAGCGGGGGGAGGTCCTGATGCTTCCCTGCACGGGAAAGGTTCAGGGGAACATGGTCCTGTTCGCGATCTGCTCCAACAGGTTAGACCTGCACGACCTACAGGAGGACTCCGACCGGAACTGGATGGACGTCTTGAGGGTAGCTCAGGAGCTCCATCACGTCGACGTGCTTGCCGCGAGGGAGCGCTCGTACATCAAGCATTCTCTGTCCGACGGGAAAACTGCGAGGGAGGACCCGCCACACAAAACTATAAACGGGCACCCTCCAGCGCATTGTTTCTGGGCCTCGTGGGGTAGGATGGCGGTGTGCAAGTCACCGCCAAGGACCAGCAGTGTTGTGCGTACACCGCCACCCTTCCTTGAGGGCACAGGGAAGACTAGTCAGCGGGTGCTCGTGTATATCTTTCGCGGCGTAGAGGAGATCGGCCAGTCCGAGTTTGTTCGTGGTTTTTCGAAGGTGCCACAGACTGCCCTGAACAAGCTGACGGCCAATGTCGTGACCATACGGGAGGCCGCGGACACGACGCCTTTCGTGCTAGTGGTCAGCCTGGCGATCAGCTGGCGCCGTCGCAGTTGGCGGCACTTCGGCAAGTTCTTCCAGAAGCTCCGCCAGGATTTCCCGAAAGGCAGCCTGCCAGTGGTGATCGAAGAGAGACAGAAGCGGCATGAACATAACATTTTGGAGGTTCCGCGCGTCAGGGAGGGGGCTCCAGCGCCGATCCAGGACATCCGTGCGAAGCTCCGAGGGCTCGTCTGTTCGTGCCGCTCCGTCGTCTCCCAGGTGATCCTCTGCCGCAGCTTGCCAGACGACGACCTTTTCTTCGACGCGCTCGGCCTGTCCCAGGACTCGGCGGACAGCATCGGGATCTGCGTCGGGGAGCCGACCACGGCGAAGGACCTGGCGCGCAGCGGCGCGCAGGAGTGCGCGGCCATTGTGGTCTCCAGCACGAGCGTGCTGGAAGACCTGACCCAGAAGAAGGCCTCCTCCTCCTCCTCCTCCAGCTCCGCTGCTCACCTCCTCCTCATCATCCATTCCCCCTCCTACCCCCTAACCACCCCCCCACCCCCCCCCCCCTCCTCCTCCCCTGCTCCTCCTCCGCTCCTCGTCCTCCTCCTCATCCTCCCTCCTACTCCTCCTCTCATCCCCCTCCTCACCCTCCCCCCCCCCCATCCTCCATCCTCCTCCTCTCCTCCTGCTCTCCCCCTTCTCCTCCTCCCTCCTACCCTCTCGTCCTCGTCCTCCTACTCCCCTCCTCCTCTCCTCTCCTGCTCCTCCTCATCCTCTCCCCAATCCTCATACTCACTCCTCTCTCTCATACTACTCCTCCTCCTCCTCTCCTCCTCGTCTCTATCCTCCCCCTTCCTCACCTCCATTCTCTCCTCCTCCTCCCCCTCCCATCCTCCTCTCCTACCCTCCTCCTCTCCTCCTCCTCTCCTCTCTCATCCTACTCATCCTCCCCCTCCTCCTTCATCCTCTCATCCTACTCCTTCTCCTCCTGCTCCTCCTCCTCCTCTCCTCGCCTCCTCCTACTATCCTCTTCCCCCCTCGTCCTCCACATCTCCTCTCCTCCTCCTCCTCCTCCTCCTCACTCCTCGTCCTGTCCTCCTCCTCCTCCTCCTCCTCCTCGTCCTCCTCTCCTCCTCGTCCTCCTCCTCCTCCTCCTCCTCCTCCTCCTTCTCCTCCTCCCCCTTCTCTTCCTCATGCTGAAAGGCCCACGAGATGCGGGACGCCGACGCGGTGCTCTTCTACCGCGTCCTGCAGGGGATGGGCCAGAGCCACAAGCACATCTCGGGGGCTGCAGAGGGGCGTCCCTGGCCCGAGAGGTGTCCTGCTCCTCACCTCGTTAATCAGCCCCGGGAGGCCCTCTGGGCTGAAGTCGGGCTTGCTTATACAGGAGGAATCTTAATATGTAGCCAAAACATAGTATGGGACGATTCTTTTGAGCATTTGGGCTATTTTTGAGTATTTGCCGAGTATTTGTGTTTAAATGTTTCGTCCAAGATCCGCCTGTAGGGGGACATGCCAGACTTAAGTCTGGGCCCCCGAGCCTCGCGAGGGGGTACTCTGGAGGCCGTGGGTAGACATTCGACGGTCCGCGTGGATTTCTTGGATCGAGGTCGGGCCCCCCTCCCCTGCGCGCGGAGCGCACCACGGGCGGCGCTGGAGGCGTTTTTGTTTGTGGACGTTCCCCTGCAAGTGATTGCATTCAGGGGTTTTCTTTTTTTGTTACCAAGGAGCTGGGCCTCTTTTATCGGTCTGGCAGCTATGTCGCCGACGTTGCCGCCCCGTCGCCGCCTCGTCGCCGCCCGTCGTGTGGCCTGTGTGTCGGTCGCTGCGCGTGTTGCCCCCGTTGCCGCCCCGTCGCCGCTTCGCCGTCGCGCGTCGTCTGGGCTGGTCTGTCGATCGCCGCGCTCGTTGCCGCCGTCGCCACGCCGTCGCCGCCAAATAGTACGCACAACATAGATGGGTTCTCCTTTCTAAAAAGAGAGAGACTCTACCCCCCCCATGCGTCATCGGCCCCCCTTTCGGGTATGCAAATCATGTATGATAATGACACCCTGTCCATCCTTAATATGAATTTACACTATCCCAGGGGGGCCGGGATCGGTCCCCCTGAGGTTCCTTTGTAATAAACAATACGTGGGGACATCTTTTGTTCTAACATAAGACTTTTTTGCGAATCCCTTTGCAAAACATGGGACGAAGTGCACATGCGCGCGTCGTCGCGCGCGCATGCCGAAACCCTTCAAAAACCTTCGGTGCCGGAAGGATTTCACAATCGAATTTCCAAAAACATACAAAACACAGGGTTTCGCAACATTGATTTGCTAAAAAAGCTTGCGCGCGAGCTCTTGCGAAATCTTCAGAACAACCATAGGTTTTTTTCACGATTTTCGCAAAATGCTACCAAACGGGCTTCGCGCGCGCATGTCGAAATCTGTCGAACGCCCTTGCGCGTGTGCCGTCGCGAGAATCCTGAACAAAAATTGGGACGAAGTGCAGACGCGCGCGTCGTCGCGCGCGTATGCCGAAATCCTTAAAAACCCATCGGCTTCGGAAGGAATTCAACATCGTGTGTCCAAAAAACCTACAAGAACAAAAGGTTACGCAACACGGATTTTCAAAAAAAGCGTGCGCGCGCGCTCTTGCGTCGTCGTCGTCGTCGTCGTCGCCGTCCTCCCTCCTCCCGCGTCGTCGTCGTCGCCGTCGCCTACGTCGTCCTCGGTCTTTCCTCGTGTCTGTTGTCGTCGTCTTTGGCGTCGTGGTCGTTTCCGTCGTCGTTGTCGCCGTGGTCGTCCTTCCTCCTCCTCCCTCATTCGTCGTCGTCGTCCGTCGTCGCGTTCTCGTCGTCGTCCCTTCCTATTTCGTCGCCATCGTCGTCGTCGTAGTCGTTCGTCGTCGTCGTCGTTGTCTGGCGTCTGAATTCCCTCATCCGCGTCGTCGCCGTCGTCGGCGTCGCCGTCCTTCATCCTTCTTCGTCGTTCGCGTCGTACGCGTCGCCTCCTCCTACCTCGCGTGTGTCGTCTCGTTGTCGGCCGTCGTCGCCGTCGTAGTCCTCCGTCACTCCCTCGTCGTCGTCTTTCGTGGACGTCGTCGTCTTCGTCGTGTTCGTGGCGTTCGGCGTCGTAGTCGTCTTCGTCTTCCGTCGACGTCATCTTCCGTCGACGTCGGAGTCGTCGTTGCCGCCTTCGTCGTAGTTGTCGTCGCGTCGTCGTCGCCGTCGTCGGTCGTCGGCGTCGTCATCGTGTCGTTGTCGTCGGCGTCTTCGTCGTCGTCGGTGTCGTCGTCGTCGTCGTCGTTGTCGGCGTCGTCGAAGTCGTTGGAGACGTCGTCGGTGTCGTCGTAGTCGTTGTCGGCGGCGTCGTCGTCGTCGTTGTCGCTGTCGTCGTCGGCGTCGCTGTCGTTGCCAAGTGCCATTTGGTACCCACCGTCACGGTCTTAAGAGATTTTGCAAACCAAGTTGCGGGGTGGAGGTGGAGGTCGCACGAGCAGTGGAGAGGACAGCTTCAAGACGGTCAAAGTGAGTTCTCCTTTCTAAAAAGAGAATAGACTCTCCCCCCCCCCCGGCGTTATCGGCCCCCTTTTCGGGTATGTAAATCATATATGATTATGACCACATGTCCATCCTAAATATGAATTTACACTATCCCAGGGAAACCGGTATCGCCCCCCTGAGGTTCCTTTGTAATAAACAATACGTGGGGACATCTTTTGTTCTAACATAAGTTTTTTTGCGAATCCCTTTGCAAAACATGGGACGCAGTGCACATGCGCGCGTCGTCGCGCGCGCATGCCGAAACCCTTCAAAAACCTTCGGTGTCGGAAGGCTTTCGCAATCGAGTTTCCAAAACACATACAAAAACACAGGGTTTCGCAACACTGATTTGCTAAAAAAGCTTACGCGCGAGCTCTTGCGAAATCGTAAAAAAAACATGGGTTTTTCCATGATTTTCACAACATGCTACCAAACGGGCTTCGCGCGCGCGCATGTCGAAATCTGTCAAACGCCCTTGCGCGTGTGCCGTCGCGAGAATCCTTTGCAAAACATGGGACGAAGTGCAGACGCGCGCGTCGTCGCGCGCGTATGCCGAAATCCTTAAAAACCCATCGGCTTCGGAAGGAATTCAACATCGTGTGTCCAAAAAACCTACAAGAACAAAAGGTTACGCAACACGGATTTTCAACAAAAGCGTGCGCGCGCGCTCTTGCGTCGTCGTCGTCGTCGTCGCCGTCCTCCCTCCTCCCGCGTCGTCGTCGTCGCTTACGTCGTCCTCTGTCTTTCCTCGTGTTCGTCGTCGTCGTCGTCTTTGGCGTCGTGGTCGTTTCCGTCGTCGTTGTCGCCGTGGTCGTCCTTTCTCCTCCTCCCTCATCGTCGTCGTCGTCCGTCGTCGGCGTCTCGTCGTCGTCCCTCCTATTTCGTCGCCGTCGTCGTCGTCGTCGTCGTCGTCGTCGTCGTCGTCTTCCCTCCTCCCTTGTCGTTGTCGTCGTCGGCGTCGCCGTCCTTCCTCCTTCTTCGTCGTTCGCGTCGTCGCCGTCCTCCCTCCTCCCTCGCCGTTGTCGTCGTTGTCGTCGTTGTCGCCGTCGTCGTCCTCCGTCCTCCCTCGTCGTCGTCTTCGTTGGCGACGTCGTCGCCGTCTTCGTCGTCGTCGTCGGCGTCGGCGTCGTCGTCGTCTTCGTCGTCGTCGGCGTCGTCGTAGTCATCGTCGCCGCCGTCGTCGTCCGCGTCGTCGTCGGCGTTGTTGACGTCGTCGTCGGCGTCGGCGTCGTCGTTGCCGTCGTCGTCGGCGTCGTCATCGTCGTCGTCGTCATCGTCGTCGTCGGCGTCGCCGTCGTCGTCGTCGGTGTCGTTGTCGTCGTCGTCGTCGTTGTCGTCGTCGTCGAAGTCGTTGGAGACGTCATCGTCGTAGTCGTTGTCGGCGGCGGCGTCGTCGTCGTCGTTGTCGCTGTCGTTGTCGGCGTCGCTGTCGTTGCGAAGTGCCATTTGGTACCCACCGTCACGGTCTTAAGAGATTTTGCAAACCAAGTTGCGGGTGGGTGGGTGTGATGTTTGCGCGAGCAGTGGAGTGGACAACTCACTGCGAACAGAAATTAATTGCACCACATAAACTGTACCACATCTTGAACCACATAGATTGCGCATCACATAAATCGCACAACATATATTCTCCTTCCTAAGGGGAGAATAGACTCTACCCCCCCCGGCGTTGTCGGCCCCCCTTTCGGGTATGTAGATAATATATGATTATGACCACCACCAGGGGGGCCGGTATCGGTCCCCCTGAGGTTCCATTGTGAAAAACGATACGCAGGGACATTTGCTGTTCTAACATAAGACTGTTTCACGAATCCCTTGCAAAAAATGGGACGAAGTGCACACGCGCGCGTCGTCGCGCGCGCATGCCGAAATCCTCCAAAAACCTTCGGTGTCGGAAGGATTTCGCAATCGAGTTTCCAAAAAGCATTCAAAAACGCAGGGTTTCGCAACACTGATTTGGTAAACAAGCTTACGCGCGAGCTCTTGCGAAATCTTAAGAAAACCATAGGTTTTTTGTTCAAGATTTTTTACAAATTATCCCGGCAAAGCAACCTAACAGCGATGTGTAGGAGCATATTTGGAAGCATTCCCCTTAAGATTCAGATGAGAATCCAGTTGTAGAATTCTGCTGTTCTCGCAGTCGTAGTCGCATTCGCGATGACAGTCGCAGTGGCAACGGCAGTCACAGTCACAGCCTCAGCCTCAGCCTGCCTCAGCCTCAGCCTCAGCCTGCCTCAGCCTCAGCCTGCCTCAGCCTCAGCCTCAGCCTGCTTCAGCCTCAGCCTCAGTCTGCCTTCAGCCTCGGCCTCAGCCTCAGCCTGCCTCAGCCTCAGCCTGCATCAGCCTCAGCCTCAGCCTCAGCCTGCCTCAGCATCAGCCTGCCTCAGCCTCAGCCTCAGCCTGCCTCAGCCTCAGCCTGCTTCAGCCTCAGCCTCAGTCTGCCTTCAGCCTCGGCCTCAGCCTCAGCCTGCCTCAGCCTCAGCCTGCCTCAGCCTCAGCATCAGCCTGCCTCAGCATTCAAAATGTGGCCCAGGAATGGAGTTCTGGGAACTAGAAGAACACGAAGTGGCCTACTGTTGGCTCCGGGCATTCAAAATCATGCCCAGGAATGGAGTTCTGGGAACTTGAAGAGCACGAAGTGGCCTACAGTTGGCTCCGGGCATCCAAAATGTGGCCCGGGAGTGGAGTTCTTGGAAGTCGAAGAGCACGAAGTGGCCTACAGTTGGCTCCGGGCATTCAAAATGT